GATAAGGCTTTCTCAATTCAGAATTAAACTCCACGTCCTGTATGATGAATATCAAACCGAATGACAGATAGAACAATTTCAGAACAATTCATCATACATCCAAAAATCAAATCAAATGGTTGAACTTTCTGTTACCGTGCACTCCTGGAGTTGTTGATGATGAGTTGTTGTATTCTATTAGTATGGATTATGTCGTGGACTAGGATAGGTCAAAATTATTGATTTTCGAAGCAAACTATATCATCTTCAACTACAACAACTTCTTTCCTGGCTATTTGCCACGTCGAACATTGAATTATATTATTCTATTCGATTTGGGAGATGATGTCAATTCTCAATTTCAGAGGATTTTGATTTTGCATGCTCGCTTGTGGCCAACTTTTAATAGAAAAGGATGAAAGTATTAAAAAGTCAAACACATTTGCTAGCGGCAGCTGTACATCGGAGAACAGATAAGTGAGTTCGAATTATAGGCTAGATGGTGAAGAAAATTCAAGTTCTTGGACGCCACTCAATTCATAAAAATCCTTCAATTTGGATAATTGAGAAAACCAAATTTTTTTTCAAATAATCTATTTTTCAAAACCTGAAAATGGTTCAAGGAAGATGGAAGAATGAAAACCAACATAAAATTCAAGACCCATTATATTTCACACCACCAGAGACAAGGATATATATGGACCTATGTAGAGGCCTGCTGTTTCACGATGAAAAATGATCACTAAAGTACTGTATTATTATTATTAGTGTAGGTTGAGTAAATTGCATGGTGATTCTATCATAATTTTTCTACCTATACCAGGACAATTACCATATTTCTAGAATAAGTGAAAATAAGTATAGTAAAAATCCTATTTCAACTATAAAACGGAATGTATAACTAGTCAAGAAATGATAGCGCAATGAACTGTTCAGCAAACGCAGTCACATAGTATACTATGGGAGAGCTTCACAAGAGCTTCACTAGTTTGTGAATTAATACCGTAAAAAATGTGATTACTCAACCAGTCTCAGATGTGAAAAAAAATGTAGATAATTATGTATCAAAAAGGTAAAACACTGAAGGTGGAACAAAAAAACCTGATGGTGGTCCAAGGGTCCTCTGCAATGGTCCAGATCACCCCTATCCAAGGTCCCAAGTGGTATGAATATAGATGTGCAGCATAGGTCACTGCAGGTAGAGACAACACAAACGAGGAACGCTGAACCTCCACGGTCAGCAGAGTTCCAGGATGCAGTATAACCAGGGGTCAGTCTCTACCAGCTGCTACTAGGCTCCATCTGGTGTTTCCATGGTCGACTCTGGCCAAGATCCAAAGACCTTGCAGGATTACTCAGATCCACTGGGGGATCTTGACAAGGGTAGAGTAGAGTATCCTGAGGGTCGGTCGCTACCAGGAGTCCGAAGCACAGCTAAGCTGCACCCTAGCACCCTATGGAATAATCTGAATATAGCCTCCTGAGAGGGCACACAGCACGTGGAGACAACAGAAAAAACTGAAGAACAGTATATATTTTCGAAGATTTCACTGCTGAATCTGCTATGGCAGTGACTTATCATCTGAGAAGGGAGGTAGGATTGAAGAATTATTTGACCTTCTAAGGACTGAAACAGGCCTAACTGCATGGCTTCTAAAACTTCATGGCAGTCTCCAGGAACAAATCCCACAAATGGCTTCCTGACGGAGATTCCATCCACTGACCGGTAAGCAACGGCTTCCCAAAACTCAAATCCTTCCCCTAAGGGTTTCTACGGTTTTCACCGAGGAAATCAAAATCACTTTTCACAGGTCAAGTGCACGCCACCATGGCTAACCGAGAACAAGTGAGGTAGCTACGTGCCGGAAATTCTCTTACCTTCGTTTTAACTAGTCAAAAACCCCTAATTTCTTGTTAAAATCTCAAATTAGCGCCAAATATGGAATCCAAGAATCCTATTGGTCGAAGAAATGCTTACGCCCTAATTATTAAGAAGAATTGTTTTTCTTCTTCTGTCTTCAAAGGAATAATCTCCAAATCCTTCGCAGAAGACAAATGACAGTCCACAATGACTGCAGTATGACAGCAGTGACAGTGACATCCTGATGACACACGAAAATATAAACCTGAGATATTATCCCAAAAATAAACAAAGAAATTTATATCCAAATTGAAACCAATTCAGAATGAACAACATCATAAATCCTGAGATATTCCAGCGAGATACGATTTATCGCCCTGGAGAACATCAACGGTAAGTTGTGTGTCTACTTTTGAATGAATTACAATATCAAATATTTTCTTCGATTCTAGGGCCTTAGGATCAGAACGCCAGAAATCAAAGACTCCTGCAGCTTACATCATCACTTCCTATTAGCACATAGAATATCAGAAGAAATGAGTGCTCTACTATTGGGATTTGTTTGTTAAAAGATCCCATTCAAAACTGTGTGTGATATGATATGGTTGTTTCATTAAATGTTCTATTACTCAAGGATTATTCACTATATGTCAGACTGAATGTTCACTGTGAGTATGGTTTCTTCTCGAATTCATATGGTAAGAATTTGAAGACTATGTTTATTACACCAAAGAAAAATAAAAACAAATCTTAGCACACCACAGTGCTACTCTACTGTAATTTGATAAGTTGCATCAAAAAAATGAGCTAACATTATCTTGTAGCAATTTCAAATGCTACACTCTCTTTGAATATTCAACAGATATAATTCGATGTTCGACTTTTCAAATAGCCAGGAAAGTAGTTGTTTTCTGTAAAATATTCAGAATGATATTATGTGCATATCTTTATTTATTTTTGTATGTTCTGGTTCTCACGTAAAGGAATATTCATTACCACCGAACATCAAGTTGATGTTCGGTGGTAATGTTCAGAGAACATCGTGAGAACCAAGAAAAATGAGGTAGAAATTGGTGTCCTTCTTGAACTCCTGAACGTTATATGCCTCGGTGAACACCTACCTTGGCAATGTGTTCCAGAGCCACGCTGTTCGTTGGATAAACGAGTCTTTGGAAATAGATGTTCTGCACGTCTCCAAAGTGACCACGAAGGAGTGCAAAGCCTCAACTCGACGGGTTAATCTCGTGGGGACTGTCAAGGAAGGAACAGTTGTTGATATTTCAGAATAGCATCGTCCATGAAAATATCTATAAAATAGAGCCAAATTGACAATTTTTCTACGGTGTATCAGAGATGTGAGTGAGTTTGTGAGCAAGGCATCACCCACGAGACGAATTTCCCTTTTTTGGACAGAATCCGACAGTTTCAGGTTAGGTTTGGGTGCTGCACTCCAAATATTTGTATAGTATTCCAGGACAGGTCGTATCTGTGCCTTATAGATCATATAAGCAGCTGACTGAAGGTGAAATAGGTCCTGACTCGAAACAGAGAGCCAAGTCTTTGGGATGCACTTTTAGCAATTGATCTCACGTGATTTTCCCTAGAAACGTTATTGCTGATAGTGATACCAGCATCGAAATGGATGATTTCAAAGGTATGGGTACTTCTGAAAACCTTATGTTGGGCACAGTGAGATCGGCTTTTCTAGAGAAAAGGCATGCTCGTGTTCTGTTTGCATTGAATCCTACCAAGTTTTAGATCTTCATTCGAGAATTGTTGCCAAGTCTATATTAATGTTGTCAACATTTCTTCCTCGTTCGTTTCTGATTCGCCTGGCTGGTATTGGAGCCCTGGAAGGGAAAGCGGTATGGAGGGTACTATCATCCGCCAAACTGTGTACTGGACATGAAGTTGCTCCCAACAAATCGTTGATATGGAGTAGAAATAGTGTTGGTGCTAGAATTGATCCTTGTGGAACACCAGCATTTATGATAAGAGAGTCAGACGAAACTCCGTCGACCACTACATGGAGAGACCTATTCAAGAGAAAACTAGCTAACAGAGAACATAGCTGAAGAGGCAAGCTATGAGATGGAAGCTTGGCGGTGGCGTGGTGCCATTCTCGATCGATATCGATATCAAGTGCCACGGCTAAGGTTTCACCATATTTCGATAGATTGCTGCCATATATGTGAGACGAAAGCGAGCAGGTTACCAGTTGATCTCTGATGACGAAAGTCATATTGCCTATCGTTGATTATACCTGAATGTTCCAGGTATTTCATGAGCTAGATATTGATAGCTTTCCCCATGATCTTTGATATAATAGATAGCAGTGCGATCGGTCTGTAAATGCTAGGTAAGGTCTTTCTGCCTTTTTCAAGAACTGGTTGTACTCTCGCAATTTTTCAGTTGGACAGAAATATCCCCAACTAGTTGAACAACTTGCAGAGAACAGGTGTTAGTTCGGGAGCACATTCCTTCAGAACAATAGGTGGGATTCCGTCGGAGCCACTAGCTTTGTTGGTGTTGAGACCCAATGAAATCTTCCTTATATTCCGTTGGTGAAAGTTAATCTCGGGCATATGGCTGTCCATTGGCGTTATGTTTGGAGGTTGTAATTCTGATGAATCCAGAGTGGAATTTCCAGCAAATAAGTGCTCAAAAATGTTGGCCTCCTCCTGGGCAGTTGTGGCTAGTGTTTCATTTCCCTTGGTTAGAGGAGGAAACGAGCTGGAAGTGAAGTTTATTCCTACAGCTTTGGCGAAGGACCAAAATGAACGGGAATTTTTTGGACATTCAACAAGTTTTGATCTCATTTTGGCATTATGAGCATCCTCTGATGATCGAATGCATATGCCTCTACCCTTCACATATTCTGCTCTAGTCTCAGGGCCTCGATTTTTCTGCCATTGATGGAATGCTGCCTGTTCGGAACCGACAGCTCTAGAGCAGTTTTTACTGGGTCAATGTCAGTTGACCGAAAGTCACCTGATTGTCAAGTGAATAGTCTTGAATGCAGAATGGCGTGTTTCATTCAAACTGAAAAATTGAAAAAGAAGCTATACTTCGAAGGCTATATATATGTACGAGATCCAGAAAGGAATGAAAAAACTTATTGAAGATGTGAGTTCAAGAAAACTTGCAAAGAGCACATACAATGATTTCTGCTATAGACAGAGACGAGGTGTACACGAGAGGTGAGCATTCACACCAACCAGATGCTCGTAGAAAAGAAGTTATAGGAGCATCATATCTTCTCAGGAAAATTGCAAGAACTTCAATGATGAAAAAAAACGTTCTGAGAGAGAGAAGCAGGAACGAATTGCCTCTTCCAACATCGAATGATTTCGTTTTACCCGATGAATACAAAACAACTTCGAGCGGTGATGATTCCCTAGTGCAAGATTTTATAGACAATGGCGAGAGGATATTCATTTTTCCAACACGAAAAAATTTGGAAGTACTTCAAAAAGCTCATGTATGGTTTGCAGACGGAACTCTTAAGGTAGTACCGAACATTTTCAGATTGCTTTATACGATTCATGCATATGTGAAGGGATTGTTTGTCCCATTGATATACGCACTTTTATTCAATAAGAAGAAACAAACATACATGACTATGTTAGATATTTTGAAGCAACAAGCTGATTTTCCGAATCTACAGTCTATCATATATGTGATTTTGAAATGGGAGCAATGAATGCTTCCGATGTATCATTTACGAATATCAATATTCGAGGATGTTTGTTTCATCTTTGCCAGAATGTTCATAAGAACATACAGAAAATTGGACTGCAAAGTATGTATGCCAATGACATGCGGTTCGTAATAAAAGTCAAAATGATGACGGCTCTGGCTTTCGTTCCATGTGAACATGTTATTAGATATTTCGAAGTTTCTCCTCCAGAAGCTTTCGCAGTTTTAGACTACTTCGAGGATACATATATATAGGTCGTTTACGAGGAAGACGAAGTGGAAAACCAATTTTTGCCATTGATGTTTGGAACGTATATGAACGAGCCAAGAATGATCAGCCTAGATCGAATAATGCTCTAGAAGCATGCCATATGGTATATACTGAATGGTATAAGAAAACAACAACAATATTTTGAACGTAAAATAGAACAGACGTTGGCTGGAAATGACGAGAAACGTATGAAAATATATGTCGATCTAGACAAGAGAGTCAAATTTGTTGTAGATGAGTTTGGAAATACTAAACCTGTCGAAGTATTGCTCATAATCCCAAATAATGTATCATTGATTAATATTTATATAAATAATAATAGAATGTATCGAATCGTTGAATGATTAAAAAATAAAGTGTAACAAAGCTGGCATGTTCATTCATTTTCTAATATTTCCCATGATGTTATGGAAGATGCATCAGTTCAAGGCTAGTGATGAGGATTTTACTAGGGTTCTTCCCCCCTTCTCACTTCAGCGATGAAATAAGAGAAGAGACTCAACGCACTGACGGAAGTAATAATGGAAACTCGAATGATATCTTCGCTTATTCAAGAATCGAGTGAGATATATGCGGATTCCCAAGAAAAAATTCGGCCAATTTAGTCCAACTGACGTATTCGGCCGATTGGCGTATTCGGAAAATTGACTTTCGACGAATTGACTTCGACGAATTGACTTTCGACGAATGGACGTTCGGTCAACTGACATTGACCCGTTTTTACTAAATCAGGCCTTATCGGAAGATGTCCTCCTTGCAGTGTTCGGTTTGTAGGAGGAACAAACTCTCTTTCATGGAAACGGCTGAAAAAAAAAACATACGAAAACCTTTCCAGTCGGTCGAATTGTAATGCCATATAAGACGGGTAGGCATTGTGGTGCTGGATGGTATATGGAAAGAGCAGGTTGTGGAGATGAGGGTGTGGTCAGAGTTTTCAAGTGGGGCACAAATTACTATCCTATATATGGATTAGGATTGCTTGTGAGAAAAAGATCTAGTGTATTGGCAGACTGGTTGTTGACATCTGGAATGCGGAATTGTAGTTTGACTAGTTGTTCAAGACCATAAGTGATGGCGAAGGCCTCAGTTTGACGACCTGCATCATCTGTTTTGTTAAAGAATTTGAGCCAGGCTGCGTTGTGTACATTGAAGTCACCCATGATAATGATTCCAGCTGTTGGATGGTCCTCCTGAATCAAGTTCAGTTTGAGTGATCAAATCTCAAAGAGGTCGTTATATTCATCATCATTAGGCGATAGGTAAATGTATCAGATAAATTTGGTCAGTCTGGTTTGGTATCGACCAGCTTGAACCACATCACATCAGAGTCTTTCGGTTCCAAACTCTCTACACGCTGGCATGAACGGTTAGCCATAGCGTAGAGGCAGACTCCAACTACAAACCTGAATCGAGAATGGAGTTCGTAACCAGGATAGAGTCTACTTCAGAAGATTTTGTTTTCAAATTCTCATCGTGTGTTCAATAAATGTAATTCAATGTTCGTCGTGGCATATAGCCAGGAAAGCAGTTGTTTTTTGTTGAATAAACCGAGAAACAATTGATATTTTCATCACACGGAGAATGCGAATTCTCAATCTATTTATTTATATCCATTTTTTGTGTGCATGAATATATTTGAGAATATTCCTTTTTGATTTTTTCACCCAATCAACGGATTCGAACTTGAACGATGGAAACTTGTTATTTCTATAGACCCCAATCGCAGATTCGTGATTAGGTTTCCTCAATTCAGAATTTCTCACCATGTCCTGTATGAGAAAAAGAAGAAATAACTTGCCCAAATAATGGTCTGAAATATAATGTCATTGAGCTAGTTCAACAATGTTCTCAACTTCGAACGCTTAGTCTCTGTTTATGTTCGGTGGCTTTGCTATTGAATGTGAAAGAGTCATAGAGGGTAACGGCTTTTCCAATATGGATTTTCAAGAAGTACTATTGCTGGATCCTCAAGCCATATTTTTTCTATCAATTTTTTTTCTAGATATCCAATTACACATGTTGCTTCTCACAGTATGACCAAATCAATCATTGATCCTTATTCTTCTAAATTCATCTATATGATCACATGAACAATACAAATAGAGTGTGTGTATCGATACTATTACGTCTAATCATCCTTCCAAATCCTTCTTCTATGAATCATTCAATTCTGGATGAAGATCACCTGTATATCTCTATATTTCATCAACACTCAACACCTGATCATTGGTAGTTTTTTTCAAGTACATTATCAGAATTCGAACGATTGTAGGACATTTTTTGTGTTAATTCTCAGCAGACAAATGTCCATATCGATTGATCATCTATTGATCGATAGATATATCATATATCATTCATAATAAGGCAGATCAAACAATAGATTGATCATTATATCTGACAATTGAAGGCAGTAGTATAGGAATTTTATCTTCCAGACCATTTACCTGTACATCTGTATTATTTTGAGATTAGACAAATTGATATCTTGTATTCATCTACTCGTTCTAATTTGAATACAATATGATATATTGATCCACTATACTTGATACAAGATATCGAACATATTTATAAGCATTCGCCCTAGTTTCATTTCATCCATCCAGTTCCAACTCATCCGAACAGTGAAAAATGATCAGATTCACACTTGCCCTAGCCATACTTGGTGTAACATTTGGTGAGTTTTGTGATAAAGTACTGAAAATACACCTAGTCAATATCTGCCTTTCACCATTCATTATTAACTAGATGATACAAATCAGAAATATTTGAAAATAGGTACACATGCAAATAAAAACAGTAAAATGGTGGTGCATGTGACTGGATGTATTTTCGCGATCAATTATTGTTGTCACTCATATTCATCTGACTTTTTCACGCATATTGAAATTTTCACATAATCGACTGATCGCAAGCCAAAAAATTGGATTATCGCAAAAATTCAACACCAAACATTTCCGATCAATTTAAAGCCTGTATCTCGTATCGTTACCATAGCGCAACTAAACAAATTTCTAAGAATTTTTTTCCTCCTCATCCTTGGGGGACGGAGCATGAATTACACTGGAAATTTTTTGACGTTGATAGGTTGATGTCAAATGACATTTACATTCAACTCCAGATTATTTCGAGTTCATTCTATGAGTCAATACATAAAAATCATTTATATACAGTTTACACCATATAAGATTATGTAGGTATACTTACCATATAGTATTTCAGTATGAAATTTTCTTACCGAATCCCACTTTAGCTTCAATTAATATCCGAGAATTTTGTTCTCGAACACGAATATCCAGAAAATTCTTCCTCATCTCCGTCTCGGAAGAATTTTTAAAATATTCGTGTTCTCACAAAAATTTCCGATAATAATTGATGCTCTCGTGGTATTATAAGTGAAAACATACTAGCTCTCGTTCAATCCTGGTTGGTCTATCAGCTTCGGTGTTTTCAACGATGTCATCATGTGTAGCTCATTTATGTATCAAGAGAGAGAATAAGGTTTTTATGGACCGAGAGATGACACGCCTAAGTTCATCAAAGCAAGTAACGCCTGAAATACATACAACGTTTAATGCACGACCAGTATAGGTGATTTTCCATTGTGAATACCTTTTTATTTCTTAAGGACGATGAAAATGCATCAGATTGGTTGGGTCAACCAGTCAGGCTGTATATTCAGAGTTGATAGACATTTGCTGTCAGTGTAGATTATCACAGATTAGTTATTCTTGGGTATACGATCATAATGTTCTGCATCCTTGAAAATTATGCAATAATAAACCATCATATTCATAACATAAATGTCCTGAATTATATATACAGGAATACTCGTTACTAGTAACCTATACACGATAGGTATATCGCCCAGCGCTAAAGTGCCACTTTACACCTGCAAAACCGGGTGATAAAGTGCTAATTCAAGCCTGGTCGTGCATAACATTATTTTGAAGTTGTAGATGTGGCAATGATTTGCTTTGGTTATATGGCTTGCTTATTATCATGATAAATAATGCTTATTGTACATTGTCAACTTGACTAGTACGATACCACTCTGTTCTTGCTTCTCATAATTTCTTCTCTCATTGTAAACTCGATACAATGAGTCTAAATAATTCTACAGACAAAAATGATTGTTTTTTTTTTCTTGGTGTTTCATGATCAGGAAAAAACATTCTCCATATATTCAAAATAATATAATTAAATCTTACTTGGAATAACTCTCAATAGCTATATTTCATTAACTGTTCTTCGAAATACACAACAGGGATGTATAGAAATTTAACTGGTGCGCTTGCTCCCTATTGATGGTCGTTTGCAAGTTTCCCGATGGCGCCTACTCTGATAAACCTTTGATAAACATACTTGACGTGGGTAAATCTCGCTTAGCTCATCTTGGTTACAATCCATATTTACAGGAAACATATTACCGACCGATAAATATTTGGATACGTATATGATTTGAATCAGAGCAGTGAACTGATTCCTGATCAAAGGATCGAAACGTCGATATGTCAAGAATATTCTTGAGCTGAAAAATGACTATTTCTGAGGTTGGGGTCTAGTGTTCGTTAGTGACGTTTTCCATAGTTTCATAATTTTGTGTATAATACCTAATCCACCATAGAAAAAAGAAAATCTCTGTTCTAAGACACTATTATTTCAGTGATTTGAGATATCAGCGTGAACTGGTGTGAATAAATTCTAAGGTTAGTACCAGTTACCACATCTGCCTATTATAATTTTCGATATTAGTCTAATTCAATAGTTGATACATTCTTTGTTCTGGTTCTTCAAAGAGGAAATTCATCAAATTTCATGCTTTAAATAGGTCCATGTCATGAAAGAAGTGAAGCTTATTAAAATCGGCTACGAAAAAGATTTCTTGCTTCTTTTTCAAATTCAAATTTGAATGGAAATGTTGAGCACAGTATTTATTCCACCACACAACAATGATGCAAATAGATTCATCGCTCACAGAACCCAGGTTTTGAACGATTTTCCGATTATGGCGCCTCTATCGCAAATACCTGAACCCCACGTCCAAAACTCCCTTGCAATTGTTCCATATCGAGAAATAATCTGACGAAACAATTGAAGAGTGAGCCCACCAGTTAAATTTCTATACATCTCTTACACAACTATAAAATGACAATTTCATATCTTCGTTATCACTAGTAATATTTTCATCTGCTTCAAAATTATCAGTGGCCTAACTGTCACTTCTAGTCGAGTATCCAAATAATATATTAATCACGTGAGAAGTTTGTTATACTGGGTGTTTCATTAGGAATGGGAAATCCCTGAACAGAAGAAAGTGAACACCATAATATGAAGATTTAGTACAACATGCCTGATGAAAATGTAACTACGCCTATCGCATATCTCTTAAACAAGCAACATTCTCAGTTGTCATATGTTAGGCTAAATATTCATATTTTGGAGTTTACTATCTGCAGTTCAGTGATTGCCCATTCTTGATTATTCATCTTGTATAGTAGCATTATTGCCCGAAGTGTATATAATATTCTTTCACCTCTAGCCATGGAACCAACCATTATTCACTCTTTTCCGAGGCGTTGAGTGTATTTTTTCCACAAAGATAGTTTTCATCTTTCTATGAACTGCTAGTCACTAAGGACTGCCACTTCTGTTATAATTAACTCGAATTCACTTTTATTTTGCTAGATTCACAAAAATAGCACTCGAATCTAGAAGGTATTTATCAATAACGACTTTTCATAATGCTGTCATGGTCATGACTACTACAGATTTCAGCAAGAATTGGAAAATTGGTGTTTCCATCGTGACAATAGGTCCATAAAACAGTTTCACAGGACTCTACTGAATGAAATATAATGCTAGTGGTGGAAAAAATTCAATATGAATACCTTGGTAGTGAAGAATATATATTATTATCAAGAGACCTCATGATCCTCTATATGTATTAATGATATTCCCTTCTTCGCCTATTCGGGTTTGAATCTATCCTTCGCGCGTTTTTACTATTTGAGTTACCACGTCAACACATGGCAACATCGACCCAAGAAAGATTGAGTCTAACAATGTGGCGTAGATCGAATACTTCAATCTATGTTCATGTATAATTGGTTTTTTAACACTCATCGTATTTTGCGCTCTGAAATTGCGCGTTTGAAAAATAGTATGATGCAAATGAAAGGAAAAATTTCATTTCTAGCTGGACTGTTTTGTTTCTCTTGTAATTTCCTGAAACACAACGATTTTTATTATCAACTTTCCACATTCATATGTGCATATTCAATATTCATGGTGATCCACGTTTGAGCTCTGACCTCCGCGATAGATTTATCAATTCTTAGAAATTTCATCAGGAGGTAAGGTCAAAATTATATTACACAAAGGATTCGTGAACACTACGTCTGTCAATTTGAGTGAAATCGTGAAGTATTGATTGATACATTGATCATTAGCCAAACTAACAATTTTTAAGGAATCTCCTGAAATAATTTGATTTTCAATTCCCCTTATTCATAAGGGAGAATTGAATGAACCAGGTGATCCACGTTTGACTTTTGACGTCCGCGACAATTGTTTCAAACGAAACACCCTGAATATTATGGAATTTTTCGAATCTCTATGAGAAGCTAGATTCAATATTATATCACACATGTATATGTATACAGTGCGAATATTGAAATCAGTGCTGCCGTAAAATGGTGTTGTACTAGATACAAATTTTATGTGTAATATATTTTGGAATCAAATTTATTAATATAATATTGGGTGTTCTGTTCGAAAAATATTATCGCGGACGTAGGAACTCGAGCGTGGATCACTCTGTCTATTCTATTTCCATTCAAAGAAGTGGGAGATTGGAGAAAAAATCGACCTGTTCCAGGAGATTCTTCAGAAATTGATAATTTTGATAATGATGAATTTATTCACTACTTCATGACAGCACTCAATCCAACGAACCCACTGTATACAAACCCAATTTGTGATCAATATTCGAACTCAGCTCTCCATGGAGAATTGAAAAGTTGAATAATGTATAGGATGTTCCATTTGATAAAATTGTCGCACAAATACATACAGTATGATGCAAATGTATGGAATAAATTCATTTCAAAACAAGACGACTTCCGAAAAAAATCCAAAAACTAGAGTTCAGAACTTTTTTTATTGTGTATTTTTTCAACTAGACGACCCTTCGATGTTCAATTCTCAGTAGCAGACCTCTGCAAGATTCAGTTAACCAAATGAAAATCCATTTTAATTGCAATATTCTTATGCAAAATTTTGACTGTTGGATAGACGATCAGTAGACATTTTAAACGAGGTGTCACATGACCCCTGTTTGTATTTGAAAAAATCGTCCATTACGTCATTACTTCTACACCAGTGACGTAACATCTCTCATATGAATGTCATGAGATGAGGCTTCAAAAATTAAAACTCACGTGTTTTCGGAATTTCTTCAAATGTCGCCCATTTCTGAAATAATGAATTTATTTCATATATTTGCATCATACTGTATAACAATATATACGTCGGCTTGATTCGCAAATATCGTATATATGCCTAGAATACAAAATCTTACAGTAGAGACAAAAAACGTTCGAAATGATAAATAAATATAAATTAACCATGCAAATGACTCCAATTCATATTGGAATATTCAATATTCGTTGCGATATATACGAAATGGAAAAAAATCTCCATACTCATTATGAAGGACGACTATATATTTCCCTTCCTTTTCCCAATATTTGATAAACTTGCAAATTCTGGGATGAATGAGAACTACTATTTTATTCGACTGAAATTAAGCACAAAAAATTACAAAAATATCAAGAATTCGCCTATGGCATGAAATTCGTAAATCGAATTTTTCAGCAAAAAAATAGTTCAGATGCCAAAAAAAATTGAGAATAATGATCATTATTACCTGATGATAATTATTACGAATAAAAATGTCCACTGAGCTTATGGAGAACAGTTGTTACATTACAATGGTTGACATACAACTTGTTCTACATGCTCGATGCGATGTATGGACTCACGACCCCATCTTTTATCTACTTTCGGAGTTTCAAAACTTTTTGGGAGTTACAATGTTTGGTGAACAGACAACTGTTCTTTTTGTGTCAGATGGCACAAAAATTTTCGAATAAAACTGGGCTAACAACCTTTGCGGATCAAGCCGACGTATAAAAAAAATTTCCAAGATATAAATGATTATGAAGAAATGTTTGAAGTAACATTCATGTTCATTTGAAAACGATATCATTTCGATATTTCAGCTGCACCAGCACCGCTTGATGAAACAAATCCAAATTTGGGAATTGTTGGTGGCCATAACGCCGATATCATCAACTATCCGTGGCAAATATCTCTTCAGCATAGAGGGAGTCACTTCTGCGGTGGATTTTTGATCTCCAACAAGTGGGTGGTCACAGCTGCACACTGCCTCCTTAGTGGATACCGCACCAATCTCAACATTCGTGCCGGATCATCAAACAGAAACAGTGGCGGCCAAACTGCTAACGTAAAGAGATACATCACGCATCCCCAATACAGTACTACCACTTTGACCAACGATATCGCTCTCCTCGAACTCTCTACTCCGATTACTCTCAACCAATCAGCCAAAGCAGCCAAACTACCTGTAGCCGGACAGGTGGTTCCCGATAACGCTCAACTCACCATTACAGGATGGGGCGCCACGAGAGCTGGAGATAATGCTGGTGTCAATTTCCTCCAAGAAGTCACCATACCTACCGTCAATAGAAATGTATGCCGAAATGCTCTAGGTAGTACAATCACCAACACCATGTTCTGTGCTGGCTTGATTGGAGTTGGCGGCAAAGACTCCTGCCAGGGTGATTCTGGTGGTCCAGCTGTGATCAAAGGTGAAGTTGTTGGTATTGTCTCATGGGGAATTTCGTGTGCCGAACCTTCATATCCAGGTGTATATGCTAAGGTTTCCGCATTGAGGAACTGGATATACCAGAATTCAGGAATCTAACTGCATTCATCATTATTGAAATAAATATTCTGAAAGTAAGAAATCGCTATTTCATTGAAAATCAAACTACAACAGCCTACTGGATGAATGGTAACTGAATGATCTCAATTGAGATGTGTTCTACATATCATGTCCGCTGCTATATGTACTGTCCTAAGAACCATAAGAATTGAATGAAGTTGTAGGAACTTCTTCATTGTTTCAGGTCGAATTCAACCGATTGAGGAAAAGTCCTAAAATATCAACAAACAAAATAATTTGTTAACAAGTCAATAGATACGAAACGAACAAGCTATTCCTGCCTCATCGATACTAAAATAGTTATTCGTCTTACTTGGCAAAAAAGTACAAGATTTTTATGCCACGGCTGGCGTTTCATAGCCTAGGCGTACCTGGGCTAGAAAACCAGCCGAGAGAAAAGAAAAACATGTTTGAAAGCCTGAAACACTACACAAATCATCACTGTGGGCTGACGTCATGGTACTAGCGGACAAGAATAAAACTCCCTGACCAAACTCAGCCTCTACAATTTTATTTCGAAAAATAAGCACGAAAAAAGACGAGTCTCAACATATCACGTGATGGGAATGGTTCGATAGATAAAGGAACTTCTTTTACTTTTTTCCAAATCATACTGAATGGCCACCTTGTGGAAATTGTCACTCCGAACTAACATTTGTCTTTTTCAACTGATAATTGCCACTTTGAACTAGATATTGTCACTTTGAAGTGACAATTATTGTCATCTTGAACCAGAGACGCACCCGAATTGAAAACACTAGAGGCCAGTGCCTCCCTCTCTTCAAGGGTAAAATATATTCTTACATTTGAATCTCTGGTAGAAGTCCTTGTTTGCTCAAAGTAGAGTGGAATTTTCTGAAAGGAAGAAGGAAAACTCAGTATAATCTCTACCACTTCATTACTGATGTAAATCAATCAAGGGGACATGTTTCGGACTTATTAAAGTCCATCTTTAGTCGTAATTAGTAAGTACTACAAGCAAGGACATGTGATAATATACATATTATAAAAAACCAAAAATTACTTACATGGAGGTAAAACAATATTTCAAATTGGATGCCGATGTCTATATAATATGAACCACGATATTATGATCATCGACATTGGCATCCAATTCAAAATATTTTGACATCGGCATTCAATTTGAAATATTGTTTCACCTCCATGTAAGTCAACTTCTGGTTTTTCAAAATATGTATATTTTCACATGCCTATCAGTAATGAAGTAGTGGAGATGACTTTGAGCTTTCCTCCTTCCTTTTGGCTTGTTCCATTTTCTTCACAACTTCCGAAAAAAACGTATCCGTTCTCTTATCCCCTACATCCTACTACAATGGGTACATATTCATTCATTTTCTATTATTATCTCCATTATGTAATGAATGTGATTGCTATCATCTCCTCTCGTGGAAACGTAAATTGTTTCTATTGAAAAAAATGTTTATCTCCACTCATTTGATGGTTTGTATAAAGGCGCATTGAACTGAGAATTGTCACTTTGAAAAATCAATTGTAACATTGAACGGGCAAATTTAACTTCAAATCTTACCTTCATGGCCAATTCCAAGTGATAATATCCACGTGGATATATGCTGTGAATTCAGTTTCTGCGCATTTTCAATAATTAATATTTTCTTCACATGGAGAATGCAAATGCTCTATGTATTTCTTTATACAGTGCGTCCATAAAGTAACGCATAAATTCATTATTGGCTAAATGAACAATAAAATTAGAAATTCTCGAAACAGGTCGATTTTTGATTTCAATTTACTATTGTTCCAAATCATAATCTAATAAACCCCCCCTTTTTTTTTCAATTTCTAAATTGCCTTTGCTGAGCTGATTCCAAAAATGTATAATATGTTGCTTTAAATTGGTACAGGGTGGGCAAAAATGCAAAAAATGTACCTACAAAGTAATGAAAATAATGAATAAACGTAATAAACACATTAAATGAAATAACGTTTTGTTATACCACTACTTTGATAAACTAACAAGAACATCCAGCATTATTCTTAATAATTGTATCTTACAGCTTTTATTAGTGATCCAAGCCCGTGGACTATAGAAATCTTTTTGTTTGGCATTATCTTTTACCATTTTTTCAATTTGACATAACTGTCAAAAACATTGAAGCACAGTTTCGTATTATTAACGCTTTAGAGAAGGTACGTTCGTGAACTTTCTTTACAAAATGCCTTTAACCGAAAGTGACAGTATTGAAATATTAATGATAATTGGTATTGGCGATAAGATGCGGACTCAACAAGAGGTATGCCGATTCAAGATCCTCACTGTACAGTGCGAGGATTATCTAGGGAGTTTGGTATTGGAAATTCTTCAGTATCAAACATTTTTAAAAAGGTAAAATACCATCCTTATGAGGTACGTCTCATCCATGAATTGGCTGAAGACGACTTTGACCGAAGAACTGAATTCTGCGAGTATATAATGAACCAAAATAACAATTTCATTAATAACGTTTAATTTTCGGACGAGGCAACAGCCCAGTTACTTTAGCAATAAAGTTCAGCAATATTTTTTATCTTTTTCGTTACGCATTCTGCGATAACAATTTTCCAATATGTTGATAAAGGATAATCGAGGAAGGGATGTACTAATTGAAACAATTTTTCTGGATGTCCAGGGCCGGACAGGGGCCAGTCATATTTTACAACTTTCTTATTAGGGATCCTGCCACTCACATATTTCAGAATGTTATTCAGAAAGACAAAACAATGGAATGTACACTATCAGAATAATTAACCCAGGCGTCCAGGGCCGGACAGGGGCCAGCAATATTTTACAACTTTCTTATTGAGGATCCTGCCACTCATATATTTCAGTATGTCATTCAGAAAGACAAAACAAAGAAATGTACACTATCTCTTTCCCGCACGCGACTGCCGTTGACACGAACGACGCTTCGCGCTGGCCCCTGTCCGGCCCTGGACGCCCGGATTAATTATTCTCATCGTGTACATTCCATTGTTTTGTCTTTCTGAATAACATTCTGAAATATGTGAGTGGCAAGATCCCTAATAAGAAAGTTGTAAAATATTGCTGGCCCCTGTCCGGCCCTGGACATCCAGAAAAATTGTTTCGATTAGTACATTCCTTCCTTGATTACCCTAAATCAACATATTGAAAAATTTTTATCGCAGAATGCGTAACGGAAAAAATAAAAAATATTGCTGAACTTTTTTGCTAAAGTAACTGGGCTCGAGGCAACGTTTTATTTGAACGGTCATGTTAACCGGCAAAACACCCGTTATTGGTCTGATGAAAATCCACACTGGATGCAAGAGTACCATACGTAAAGACCACAAAAAACTAACGTATGGGCTGGTATTGTGAGAAATACAATTATTGATCCATATTTTTTTGATGAAAACATAACAGGAGCATTATATCTGGATTTCCTACAAAATACATTGATTCCTGATCTAATCCAGCTTTTTCCTGATATTCAAATACCCACTAATGTAGACCGCAGAATCTGGTTTCAACAGGATGGCGCACCGCCACATTTCGCAGTAACTGTGCGCGATTTTTTAAACACAACTTTTCCACAAAGGTGGATAGGAAGAAAGGGACCAGTGGAATGGCCTGCTAGATCACCTGATCTGAGCCCATTAGACTTATTTTTATGGGGTTATTTGAAATCTTAAGTCTACTTAAACAGACCTGGAAATATCCCTCAACTACAAGACCGAATCAGACAAGAAATACAGAGCATAACACCCGCTATGCTGCAAAATGTTAGAGACGAAAGTAATGCCCAGTTCAGTCATTGTCTAACGGTCAATGGAGAACAATTTGAACATTTATTGTGAATTTTCGTTTGTTTGTTTGTTTTTGGAAGTGTATCACATTAATTGCATAACTACATAATACCATTTAATTTGTTTATCACATTCAGTAACGTATTGCTTTCCATGAACAATTTTCATTTTTTTTTTGCATTTTTGCCCACCCTGTATCAATTTGAAGCAACATATTATACATTTTTGGAATCAGCTCAGCGAGGGCAATTCTGAAATTAAAAAAAGGGGGGTTCCATTTGAAAAAAATGGTGATGACGTCATTACACGAAAGTGGTTCACCCTGTATATTAGATTATGATTTGAAACAATAGTAAATTGAAATCAAAAATCGACCTGTTTCGGGAATTTCTAATTTTATTGTTCATTTAGCCAATAATGGATTTATGCGTTACTTTATGGACGCACTGTATATACAAGGTATGTCACGACGTGCTTACACTATCATCACATCGATAATCAGTCGGGAGAAATCCATGAAACTGTGCATCCTTATATTTCAGAATACACAATGCAGTGTTGCCGCGTCTACTAAAAAGTAGAGTGACATTGATGTTTCGAATGGAACACCCTGTATTTCATCGCATTTTTAGATTGTCCCTGAAGAGCTGATTTTATCGATGTATCACACTTGGGTCTATCGAAAATGATTACAAAGATATAGAGTGTTTCAGAGATTTTTCAACTTGAGGATTTTTTTGTATCGAAACTATTTATTATAATAATAATAATAATAATAATAATAATTTATTCACCAAGAAAAATACAATCATTGCACAAAATTAACAAAATGTTGATGTTAAATATACAGCATTTTCGTGTGTTTTAACGATAAATAAATTTAGATACCACTAAAGGAATACCTTGAAAGTGGTGCCAGATAAACTATCGTTATGTGTGTATATGTGTTGGTAGGTGTGCTTGTTTGATGTGTTGCGTGAATAGTATAATAAAATTAATACATTGGGAGAGTAAACGATTGAAAACTAAGAGTATTATAGTGACTTGATATATCGAGAGAATAAAGTGACTGAATACATTATTATCTGACATCAACCCATTGAACTGCCGTTAACAATTTCATGTATTCGTAACCTTGGCATTTCTTTCATCCATTTTTTTGTTTTATTTTTGAAATGGAGGTCTGAGTTCAG